CAGCGCCGTTATGGTCAAGGGTTCATCTGACGTGATTCCCTTTGGGAGCTCTGAATTGCTGAAGCTCAAGTCACACTTTGTGGTGACGCTTGTTGTTGCGCATTCCACTGCGCGGTCTCGCTTAGTCTTTTTCCTTGGTCTATCGCCTTCAATTGTGACGACTCCTATTTCTTTCCGGACGATGTAAGATCCCGTTGCTTCGTTATAGTCTGCTTGGGGAGGCGATGGTGGGATGTTTTGATGGTCTTTTTGCTCCTCTGTCCCCTTTATGTATTCCGCCAGGTATCCTCTTCTAGGAGGTCTGGTCGGTTCGTAGCGGCAGACTGATCCCGCTCCCAGGGTCTCTTCGAAGGTGATAGCTTTCTCGATCTTCGCTTCCAACTCCGAGGATAGCGTGACGGGTCTTTTTACTAGCGCACGCTTGAGTTTCACGTTGGTGGTGGCTTCCATTAGGTGGTGGGCGGCAGTTTCCGGATTTAGGTCACGTACCGCCATCGCGGTCCTCGACCATCGGGCGTAGAATGCCCGCAAGCTTTCCCCGTCCTTCTATTTTAAGTCGATCAAAGCTTTGAGGTGGAGCGGCCTTCTCTTTTGGGAGGCAAACTTCGTTGTGAACAACAGTATGAATTCCTCAAAGGTGCGGATGATTCCATTAGGGAGGCGGTTATACCAATCTAGGCATATGCCCGCGAATGTGGAGGGGAAGGTCCTGCATAGTGTCGCGTTGGAGTTTGTTTGTAGCTGCATGCGGAGACAGAAGCTGCTAACGTGGTCATCCGGGTCTGTTGTCCCGTTGTACGTAGGCAGGGCGGGTGGGATTCCGCTCAAGTGTTCCGCCATAATTTTCGCGCATAGTGGTTGGTGCAGGGTTCTCTTACGCGGAACGCGGTACTGTGGGGAAAGGTGCTGTTCTAAGAAAGTTAGGTCCGCTCTCGTTGGCGGATCTTGCTCGCGGTATTGTGGGGCCGCTTCTCTGGTCGTTTGGCATCCTGTGGGCGGTGGGAGTGTCATCCCTTGCTGCTCTGATGTTGTCGCGCTGGTTTCCTTGTTCATCATCATGGCTATCACTTGATTCATTTTTGCTTGCATGTTCGCGATAACCTCGTTTTGTTTGGTCATTTGCTGGCGGACTTCTTTGGCTGTCAGCTCTGGCTCTTCTTCTTCGATCAAGACCGCGCAGAGGTTGCTGGCTTCCGCGAATGACCTCGGGTTTGTCATTGCCTTGATCGGGGTTGCTTCGTTGGGAGTGTTACCGCTTTGTTCTGCCATCGTGATTTGTTGTCCTACTGCTTCTCTACTCCAGCCCCACTGTGGGCGCCAATTGTTTGAGTCTAACTGAGAGTAGGAGGGAGACTCAGGAAAGGAGGGGTGAGAAGAGTAAGCAATAGGATGATCAGGACCGAGAGAATTCTTTAAAGAGAGAAAGTTCTTTGATACAGAGTGAGAGAGTGAAAAATGCGATCCCTTCACCCACCGGAGTAAATGCCGTATTTATAGGCTACATTATGGTGAGTGAGTATTTAACGTGACATGACTACTGACATGTCAGGCGTTTAGGCCATGCTTCTACCTAGGACTGAACAATTTACCCATGATTATACCTAGGACTAGGATGTGACCATTCTTCGGGAAATACGATGTCGTTTCCTGGTTCGGTCTTAGTCTGAGCAAAACGGCGTCGTTCGGCATCTTGGTTCTTGGTAGCGCGATCTGCCTCGCGGAGCTTCGTCCACGAGTGCGGCCTTCTCCACGAGTTCTTCCGCGCCTTGGTCGCGATCGCACTAGCGCGCGTGCTTTCACTGGGACGGTGCCGAGCTTTTTCCTTGGCCGCGAGTAGACCCGAGCCCTACCCCCAACACATGGTATATGAAAAATTGGAAAACAATCATGGGAAATATGGGGAGAGATTGAGACCGTGATTTCATTTCTGTTTGGATTTTAAATGCAATTTAGGGCTCGGTAGAGGGGGGGGGGGAACGCAACAACTTAGGATTTCAATTCTCTTTCATTTTATCCCTTCTGAAATGGAACAGGGTGGTGGTGAAACGACCAAGGAAGGAGAAGAGAGAGAGAGTAGGAGAGAGGGGGGAAGAGTTATTATTCAAAATGGTCACATAAGTTTGACATTTGTACAAAATGATTATATACGATTTATTTTCTTCGAATTGGTAACAAAATAATTTCTCTTTGGTACCCTTCGTTAAGTTAGTGGATGGAAACTGCGATGGTGCAACCAAAATCAATTTATATGATTTAGTTGCAGCCATAATTTGACTTATGTGGTTTAAATGCAACAAAAATAAGTTAGAGGGTTAGTGTGCAACATACACTATGCTTAAGTGGCACATGATTCATTTAACCCCTTTTATATAAACTAATATTGAAATGGTTACGTGTGTGTACCAATATAATGTTCGTCTGGACCAAGTTCGCCGAATGTGTGCTCATATGAAGGACACCCGTCTCTCTAGGTCCTTGTGGACTTAGTCTTCGCCAATTTGGTGGACCCCGACGTTGTGCTCCCAGAGTTGGTTTTCATGATCTTCTTAAGCGCGCGCAACTGGTTCTTCTCCCACCAAGATTTATTTCGTCCAGTTTATTTTTTCTTCAGTCTTCCTTTTTTGTTTTCGTTCACCTCCGACTCGTGAATAGTGTCTTGCGCTGGGTGGAGTTCGTGAAACATGCCTGTGACTGCTTTCTAGTAATCTCTGGCCCTCTGCGTACAACCTCTTCGGCCAAGTCGAATAAGTGTTGTTGGACTGCATTCACTAAGGGTACATATTCTTCAACATTGGGTGGGTTCCCATACTCCAACGATTGCCAAAAGACGTGCAGTTCACTAGGGTATATCTCTCTATCTGACGCTCTAGCCACCTCAACCTGACATCCACACTTCAGATCGTGAGTGACAGGATATGGGATGGACATCATTTTCCCAGTTTTTCCACTTCTTTCATTAGTATAATTGTCTTTGCGCTGACCAGCCTTTGCAAGTATGTAAATGGTGAGTCGTCAGATGGTACAAGTTTTTTTTTCCGAGAATTTTCCAACATCTTCCTCACTTCAATGAGTTGCTTTTCAAGGAAACGATGGTTTGCTTGCCATATTGTGTTGATATAACCATGGGAATTTCGAAGGTACGGTTTAAATGATGAATGTGGGGACTCAACCCTGTTTAAGCTCTTGTTTCCCAGATGGAATGCATGTTTCATAAGATAAATTGCCCACTTCTCTCGGTGCCCCCACCACTCATGCATTATGTAATCCACCATGCATGGGTCCTTGTTGTCCCAAACCCTTCTAATGTTTTCCATGTCAGTGTACAAACCTTCTTCAGACCATAAGACCCGACTCCCGAGGCTTTAACATTGAACTGCATAATGTGATGCTCTCCGTGTTAATGTGGATAGTGATGTAGTTGGACACCAATGAGAAAAACATAACTAACATTCGCACGGGAAGCAATTACAAAGTTGTCCAAATGGAAATGTGACTTAGGGGTCGTTTGCTTCAAGGATTTGGTACATGGATTTGGTACCAAAAAACCAACTATCAAGGATTTAGGTATAATCCGTTGTTTGCTTGCACCTTTTTTGGAGACCAAATCCGTGGGGCCCACGGATTTTAAGGGTCCAAATCCGTGGACCCCATGGACTTATAAATCCCACATGTTGATGTGGGATTTGGAATATGGCATAAATCCTTGATGAGATTTTACCCATATACCTTCATGCACTTTTAATATTCCAAGGTTGCCCTCAAATTTAACTATTATACATTATAATTAACAATAAATGAATAATATAAACGTTCAATTAATGTGCAAACATGAGTTAGATTTTTTATATCATTCTTGTGTTCTAGTTTTCTTTGACCTTTTCATGGAACGTGTAATTCTTTGTTCTCCCGATTCTAATATATGTTGTTATATGTTACTTTTGAAAAGGAGGACAAAAAATTGGTAATTGATTATGTTACGTTAAAAGTTAAAACGGAATTTTCTCGTTTATTATTATTGTCCATGTGGCAACATTATGCTTATTAGTATGTATTGTCCTTGTTTTGTGTACATATCATAAACATGCCAAACATATAGAAAATGGCAGTAATGTAATTTTTGACTTCAAGTAGTAAATCCCACACCTTTAAATCCATGATAAAAACATCCCAACACACAAAGGATTGTTACAAATCCATGATGCCTCAAATCCTTGATAAATCCTTGGGTTTTTAATAAATTACAAAACCCTCATTTTTAAATCCATGAAGAAAACGACCCCTTAAATTATAGTGATTAGTAGCAATGTTGTTTTGTGTTTTAGGAAATGCTGTGTTTTCCTCTTTTTTGTGAATTGTAGTTTGTAGCTTCTTATATTTGAAATGATGGATTGATAAATAGGAACTATTGATTTTCAGTAATAACAGTAAACACAAAGAGCCACTCTGTATAGAGAGTGTTCGTACGACAATTGCGAGCTATCCTATTTGAATTTTTGTTGTTCCGAATGGTTGATATTCATTATTCAACACACGAGAGTCAAGCCTACCATATGAGCAAGGAAAGTCGAGTATCGAACTATCACGCATATAGTGCATAAATGTTCAATCTTTTCTAAGAAAAAATCAGTAATTTTTAGAGTCAAGTACTTCCATGCTATTTCAGTTATATTATCAATAAAATATTTATAAAATTCCAAATTATTAAAAAATATAATTAAATCAATTAACATAAAACAATAGAAAAAAAAAACACAAAAACAAAATTCATTTGACACAAGAATAATAAATTGATTGACAAAAACTAGTGGGAAAAGTAAAGAAAAATGATCAGCAAAGGAAAGAATAAGAAAGCTACAATTTATTTGACAAAAGAAACATAAGGATAAAAAAGGAAAAAAGGTAAGAGAATAAAATTTCCCGGCAATTTTAATAGAATCATTGCGTTTTTAACTAATGTGTATATATATATGTTACTGTAGTGCCCTCACCGCTCTAAACAACAATCTTCCCTCCACATCTATCATTCACAACACAAACTAAAAATTCCCTCTTTCCCTCGTTTTCTGCTCTTCCTCCATCTCCTTCCCCTAACCCCCACTTTCCCTCAAAAACCCAAAATTCCGCCCCACTCTCTCTCTAAACTCCTCCACTTTCTCTCTCTATAGCCTTCCCCTCAGATCCCCACTCCCGGCCACCGCCGTTCCGATTCCCCACCGATTCTTCACAGCTCAACTTCCCTTTTCCGATGTCCAGCGGCGGCGCTCCTGCCTCCTCCCACCCACCGCCTCCCTCTGCGGGGGCAAGCCCCGCGCCGCCATCCGCACCGATTCTTCCTCCCCTCAGGCGCAACCTCGCTTTCGTCTCGATGAAGCCGCCCTTTGTTGCTCCCGACGATTACCATCGCTTCACTTCTCCCGCTGCCCCCTCTAAGCTTGCCGATCGGGAAGCCGAGGCTATCATCGTGAGATCTCCAGTAAGCTCCTCTTTTCCCCTCACTCCAGCATTTCTGTTTTGCTCTTTGTCTGTGTCTTCGCGCGCTGCTGCCGCGCCGGCTCTTAGCTTGTTTGTTTGTTTGTTTGTTAGCCTCGTTTTAGCTGGAATTGGCTCACCAGATAGTTTTGACTTGTGGAGTGCTAGTCGAATTGTTTGAAAATACCCCTTCTGGGTTGGCTGCTGGGAGTGGTTGTATGGCCAATTAAGTTCGTGAGCGCTAGGGTATCGGGAGAGTAGTTGGAGCTGCTTTACGTGGGCTGAGATTCCTAGGCATTTGCACTAGTACTCATCAATCAATTAAGCCTTTTGTGTTCACCCATTAGTTACCGACTTTCTCCTCAAATTGGGACGCAGCTTTACAGTATTTCCACATCATACTCGACAGTGAATTGCCTCGTTTCTTTCTGAGTTTAATAAGCTGGTTGGTCTATGCTTCTGGTTACTTTTGCTTGTTCTTTTAGATCATTGTTGTTGTGCTTGGTGTAATCGTGGCAGTTGAAAAGAAAGATCAGACTAGACGATAATGGAATTGATTCCAGCAAGTTTACAAGCAGCCCCGGACAGACTGATGTGTCTAGTAGTCCTTATCACACCCCGGTATCTGTTGCTAAAGGGGGGAGAACAAACAACAGGGCTAAGTCGACAAAGAGTAATAAATCGGTTCCTCAGACGCCAGTGTCAAATCCTGGTGAGGCACTCACCTGTCATTTGGGTCATTTAATGTTTGGTTATTGTTCTGAGGTAGTTTGCTCCTTCGGTTCTTACTTGGTAGGATATATGTAAGTGCAAATCCACTCTCTGTTTGTATAGCTTTGTTTAGCTTATACTGTATTTTTCATTAGGAAAGAATTAGCATTATGGGTTGGACACTACTGAGTACTGATTACATGTGTTTGAACGAAAGACATTGCAGGTTCCCCATCTGCACTTACTCCTGCTGGCAGCTGCCGCTATGATAGTTCCTTAGGTCTGTATCGATTGAATTCTGTATGCTACTCTTCATCTCAATTTTGGAGTTTCACTTGGGGTTTTGGCTGACAGAGTAATGTGGTGGAAACTGTCAGGTCTCTTAACGAAGAAGTTCGTCAAACTAATAAGGGAGGCAGAAGATGGGATTATTGATCTTAATAAAGCTGCAGAAACCTTGGAGGTAATCATTTTTCTGATTGGCTGTTTGAGTTATTGAATATGCTGTTGTGCTTATGTGGGAGTTTCTGTTGGATAGGTGCAAAAGCGGCGTATATATGACATAACAAATGTCTTGGAGGGAATTGGTCTGATTGAGAAGACACTCAAGAATAGAATACGATGGAAGTAATAATTTAAGCATCTCTTGGCAAATCCTTTTTCTTTTCTTGTTTTGTTTTTTGGAATTCTATTATGGTAGTTCCCGAATCCGCTGAACTCGTGCATGGCTTGATTAAATGGTTGACCAGGGGTGCTGATGCTTCTAATTCAGGGAATGCAGATGGCAATTCCTCTCAATTACAGGTAGGTGCTAGGTGATATTGCTTCTTTGAAATACTAAAGGAATGCAGATGGTAATTATGTCTTCTGTCATGATAGTATTCAATGATTGCAAGTGATCAACTTATTTTCTCCTATCGTTTCCTTTGGAGTTTGAGGGCGCAACTGGAAAGTGTGGGTGTTTAATGGACTTCTGGAGAAACGGGTTATATCCTCAATTTTCTCTTGCAGGCAGAAATCGAAAAGCTTTCACTGGAAGAGCAAAATCTGGATAATCAAATAAGGTTAAATAATTGATTCCTTGCTTGAACGTCACTGCACAGTCTGTCTTCTGTTGTGCGACTCTGATTCTGTTACACTTTTGCAGAGAAACGCAGGAGAGACTGAGAAATTTGAGTGAAGATGACAATAATCGAAAGTAAACCCTTCTCCCATGGAAACTCTGTCATTGCTCCCATCTATGTGATGATCATAATAAAAACTCTTTAATCATTCTAACAATTTCAGGTGGCTTTTCGTCACAGAAGATGATATTAAGACCCTCCCGTGTTTTCTGGTTTGTTTATTTGTTATTCTTCACCTTTTCTTCTCAAAGATCACGGGACCCTTTCCCCGTTGTGCGCTTATGAGTTTGTGATCTGTAACCGTCGCAGAATGAAACCCTCATAGCTATTAAAGCTCCCCATGGAACAACTTTGGAAGTTCCTGATCCTGCTGAAGTAAGTGACTTTTGGAATCTTACTAGTAAATGCGTGGAGTGCTTTAGTTTGTTTTCTTCTTCTAATGCATCTCAACTAAGCTGACTGCTGCGTGCACCAGGCTGTTGATTATCCACAGAGGAGATACCGCATAATCCTTAGAAGTACAATGGGTCCTATTGATGTCTATCTTGTAAGGTGCGTGACTGATTGCCTAAAGACACCCCCTATCGAACTGATTTCTTTGTGTGTTAATACTTGTTTATGCTTTGAAGCCTGAGTTATTTTTTTTCTCCACAGCAAATTTGAGGAAAATTTTGAGGAGACCAATGAAGTAGGGCCCTCAACTAGCTTTCCACAACATGCTTCTAGCTCAAGTTCAGGTGTAATTACACGGATGGAGATGGTATCTACTAGTCCGAGAATCGAGAAGGCAGTGGAACCTCCAGTATTGCAAGATGCTCATCATCATCATCATATGTTCTCGGACTTCAACGCTTCACCGGAGTATGTAGGAGGAATGATGAAGATTGTTCCTTCAGATGCCGATGTAGGTCCTCCTCTTCATTGAGTGCTCTCTTCCTGTCTTTTTTTGTTTCTCTAAGAGATAGGAAGTCTGTTATAACAACAATTTCTTCGATAATGTTTCGTGCTATTGCAGAATGATGCAGATTATTGGCTTCTTTCTGACGGGGGTGACATTAGCATCACCGACATGTGGAAGACAGATGGTATCCTTGCAGATTTTTATTCTTCTCCTTCAACTCCCCCACGACCTGTAAGTTGAATGTAGCCCTCTCTTTCACCTTACTTTTGGGGGCGACTCTTATACTCCTTTGCCGATGTTGATTGGCTCTATGTGAGAATGCTTTTCAGGCTGACTTTGGGATGGAGGAAGTCCACACTCCTCTGCCTCAGACTCCATCATCAAGGATTGGTTGACAATTCTTCTGGCATATTGTGAGATCGACTCCTGGGGACTGTACAAATTGAGCTAAGATCAAGCAAACGGTCATCATTTTTCAGCGAAAGCAACAATCATCACTGCCTAAGGATCTTGTCACGCAGAGGCTCAGTTCTCCAGGAAGCTGACAGATGGGGTAAGTTAACAAACATTGCCTATACTCTAATTTTACCTTTACGTCTGTCTGTTGGAAGTGTGAAAAGGAAGAGAAATAGGGGGGAAAACGTGGTGAGTGAATGCTTTGGTATGTAGTTGGGTAGTGTAGGACACACATCATAACAGAGTTTGTGGAGAGAAGAAACCAAGAAGCCGGATTTGCAACTAATTCGTTGAGAATGTGAATGTCCTTTGCAATTGTGATATCCAGTACCGACTGCTATAGAAGAATTAGTTTCAACCTTGGTAGGAAAACAAATGTAACTGCTCTCACATGGGACAAAAACAGAGCACGAGATGATAGGTGAACAGCATTTCTCAACAAGAATTTCTTCATTTTTATAGTTGTCTCTCATCATAGTTTTGTACACACTTCAAGTAAAATTATTAACATGATGTCATTCATGGCTGAAGGCTTCGAACTGCCCTCGTTTTCTTGGGTGAATTCACCACCTGTCTTGTACTATGACTGCCTCTGTGGTTGCAGCCTGTAAAACTCACAAATGTTAGATCGATCTCGCAAGTAATTCATTGGGGGAATTTCACACTCTACCATTTTTACAGTCATATGTCAACCACTTTTGTTAACTAAAGAGTGTACGATCGCTGTTTGTGATACTATGGTATCAGTTTTGTATTGTATCGATCGGTGTTGAACTGCTTAGCAGAGACAACTCCGATAGGTACAATTTTGCTGTATTATCCAGGCGTCAAATGAGTCGAGTCAAGTCAAGTCGAGTGTAAACGAGTCGAGTTCGGTTCGTTTGCTGAAATGTTGGTTCTATTTTTTACTTGAACTCGACTCATTAATGAGCTCACCAGTTCTAGTTGAGTTTAACTTATCAATCAGCTTGCTAGTTTGACTCGAGCTATTTATTATGTTATTTAATAGTAATTAGTACCTAAGCAATATATGATACATAATTTCTCTTTCAAATAAAAAAAAATACATATTCTCTTGTAAGTCTTACATACATCATATTTGGTATGGTGAGATATATGACAAAACTATAAATTATCAACAACCTAAGTCACAAGATGTAGATCAATTCGTTCATAAGTTTCTAATTGAGATGGTTATTAATTTGAGTTATTAAATGGCAAAATACACATGTATAGCCATAAGTTTGCGCTTTGTGACAACAATAGCCAAATTTTGAAAAATACACAGATATAGCCAGAATTTTGAAACTAGTTTGACAAATTTAGCCATTTTCGTTAAAAAGTTTGACGCCGTCAGTAATTCTGTGAGTAACGTGGACATTACGCTGATGTGTACGCCACCTCAGCACCCACATCATGTCTCACTCACCATAGCATGCCATGTGTACTGCCATATCAGATTAAAAAATATTATTTTTAAAAATTATTTATAAAAAAATAATTATTACTTTGTGCCCTTAATTATGAAACACAAAGTAGCCACAGGAGTTAGAGGGTTCTGTTTCGAATTTTTCGAGGAAGTCTGCGATATGGAGATAGCGGGGATTAGGTTTTTCGTTTCTCGATCTGGGTTTTCAGCTTCTTACTTCTCTGTCGCTTCGCCTCCCTCCCTTCCCCACCATATACAGAGATAGCACAACGTATCCTTCGAAACTTTTCTACAGTTGAGAATCCAGATGCAACACCACCAGCAAAAACCCACCTCGGTCGTCACCTTCTCCCCGATCTCACCTAGCTTCAATTTGTACTCTAACTCCGATGACGAAACCCTTGTCGAGCTACAGTAGTGCGATTCTCCAGCTACGGCGACAAGGCATCTTCTACAGTCGTCCACGGTGCTTCAATTACGGCAACGATTGGGATTCTTCAGTCTCAAGATATGGATTTTTGAAGGAGTAAGTCCGCTGGAGATAGTGCGGCTAGGATTTCGTTTTCGCGAAGATCACTTGCTTAGAAATCGAACGGAGCTTCTAGATCTGCTCTCAAGGAAAAGAAAGGCGGAGCCGAGTCGACAACCACCGCCGTCGACCAACTTTCCGAGCGCGAGCTTCCTTCTCCTCTCTGGCTTTCGCCTTTTCTCCCACCAGTTTACTTCTTACCTCACACACAAATACCTTTATTTGGTTTAATGGCAGATCGATGCCGAGAGAAACGGGAATGCGATTGGTGTTCTTTCTTTTTGTTGGTAGGAATCGATTTGGCGTTCTTTACTTGTCTGGGTAAAGGGAAGTGGGGAATTGGGTTGAACTTCACCATCGAAGAAAGAGGAAGAGGAAGACGGAGAAGGGGAAAAAGGTTTTAGCAATTTTCTATTAATTAAAAAAAATGATAATTTCAATATGACATATCTTTTTATGAAAAATTGCCACGTCAGTAAAAATCGTTAGTCCAGTCAGCATTAATTACTGTTCCGTTAAAGTTATTGACGAAATGGCTATATCTGTGTATTTTTCAAAATCTGGCTATTATTGTCACAAAGTGCAAATTTATGACTATACAGATGTATTTTGCCTTATTAAATTGAGCTAGTTCATGAGTTGAACAAAGAATAGCTCGAGTTATCGAGCTGCTGGTGAGCATGTTAGCTCATTTGCAGCCCTATGCCCCTATCTTTAGCTTTTTATTCTATCTTCGGTACTGTTTCACGTGAATGTTGTGTTGTGCAAAAGTTTTTCGGGTCGAAGCTGCTGGATTCCCTTTTTTCTTTATAATAGGACTAGATCGTAACCCGGCCCGTTGGCCGGTTGCAATATGATCGATAATCGTAGATAACAAATGTTCCAAGTTTAAATTCTAGTGATATTCTCTTCTTTTATATTCGCGTCATGATTATATGTTATGGTAGTTTTTTTCTCGAATAAATGAATACGAAGTTGAAAATAATGGAAGAGTAGACCTATGTGTAGTCTTCCTGATATTATTGTACATTTCCCACAAAAGTACTCGTCGTAGTGTTCTTCAAAATTTTGTGATAGGTTGCATATTCAACATTTCTACTACCAATTCTTAACTTTGAAAACTTTATATTGTATGAAAATACACATTGCCCTAAATATTAATGAAAGAGTAAATATTTATTAATTAATGACTCATTATATTGAAACTCATGTTTACCTTTTTCCCATCCTGGATTTTCAATTTACTAAGCCCTTACAATATTTTGGTGGAGATTGGCGATCGCGTTTGATTTTTGACTCTCACTGCTACAATTATCATACCCATATATGACGGCTTGTCTTGATCTGTGTTCCATGATAAATTATCCGATCTAATACGGACAAACGGATATGGATATTGAGAAACTCCAACCATTTATAATGCGGGAGTGATTGACGTAATGTAGGGATAATTCAGAATTATGGTCGTTGAAGTTAAGTGGTGACTTGAATTGTGAAACAAAGAAGAATTCGAGCTTGAAGAATTATTATTTTATTATAACCATTGGAGCATGAATTTTAATAAGCCTTTTATTAATACCTCAAATTACTTTGGCTTTCCACCCATGAAGTAGTAGCGAGACAACTGTAAAATAAAACAGCCAAGAATGAAAAGACATAATAGTCCATCCGTGATGTGCGCAGAGCTCAGCAAAAATTGAATTGGGCGAGTGCTATGGGGAATCTCCTTATATAATTTGTAGGATTATAGGGATAACCGTGTTGACAGGTGAAGAGAAGGGCAGAGAAAACCAAAATGGTCTCCACTTACTCTCTACCCTCTTATACTGTGTGTTGGATAAAGCCACAAGCAAGCAGAAAACGAAGCATAGAAACAATTGATTCTTTATCTTCTACGACCCTATACAGGTCGAAATTAATAGTGTAGTTCCCATACCCTTTGTCTTATTGGTTGGGTTGCATGGATGAGATCATGAGATCGCAGGGGGACTCTTTCTGGGGTTGTGAAGTTGTGTTCCACGACGCGAAAGAGCATACAATCTATTAGAACTCAGAATGGATAGGAAAGTCGACAATACAAGAAAGTAAAGAACACACAAATTTACGTGGTTTATTAATATCATAGTGTGTTAGCTACATCCATGATCAGGAAAGAAGCCGTTTCACTATACTTAAGGGAATACAAATTACAACGAGACCCTTGTAACTTTCCATCGACAATTTGTCTTCAATTCATAGCATTGCAGGGACCAACATCCATCATCTCCTCTGCCCTGCCCACTCACATGCACAACCAAGAAATACTACATAGTCCATACTCCATACACATGCACTCCTCTGCTCTGCCTTTCTTTAGGGTGCTTACAACTTCTCAAGCGCTGTTTGATCTTTGATTTAATAACATGATGATTTCTGCTTCATGTTTGTAGTGCACTATCTTTGTCATCCTGCTAATGTTAGGCTTGAGGTAGTGTTTCTCTGTGGAAACTTCCACAATGTCGCTTTGATTGCATTTTTGATTTATGGAAATCAAAATGGTTGCTATTCTACTCACACATCTTCAAATAATGTTCGAACGAGGATGATTGATGCTTTGAAAATATATATAAATTAAATTACGAGTACTCGTATAGAGATTTCTCTAGAAAACTAGATAACTACGATTACTCCTACACCTATGGAGACCCTGTTATGGAAGGAAAGCTCCACAACTAGGAATTATAGAAAAAAAGAAAAAAAAGCAAAATACACTTGAATAGCCAAAATTTTCACGTTTGTGCCACTTATAGCCACTTTTGGCGAAATACCACTAATAGCCACTTTTGAAAGATGTTGCGTGCCAAATATAGCCATTTCCGTTAGAAACTATGACGGTGTTAATAACTCCGTCAACTTATTTGACGGTCGGCTGACGAGGCGCCAAATCATTAGTTACGTCAGCACCACATAAGCAAATAGGGACACGTCAGATATTTTAATATTTATATATCATAAATTAAAAAAAATTACCCTGGTATACCCCATCTGCTCGCACCACCGCACCCATCTTCCCCAAATCCGACCTCCCCAAATTAGGGTTCTTTCCCAGCTTTTTCATTCCCCAGGTGAATCCCCTCCCCCGATTACTCTTCCGGACATGCAACTTGGTGGCGGTGACTACAATTGAAGCTGGGATTGTAGCTGGTTGGTGGGAAAGATGAGATGAAGAGGGAACAAAGAATAGGAGATGGGCTTCCGCCCAATTCCCAGATCCGCCGTCGCACACCCGATCAAAAACCCAGATTCAATCGTGTTCTTGGCAAACTCCATAACCACTGCCGTCGCTGCCGATTTTAATCCCGACAAATCCAAGACCACCATCCAAGCCAAGAACACCCGCGAGCAGTCGCTCCTAGCCGAGGAAGACGGGCCAACACCGCAGACAAACTTGACGGCGGCGACACCAAGGCTTCAAAATACCGTGCCCCCATGGCCGCCTCCACCATCGCCTCTGTTAGTCTTGGTCTCCGTAGCGCACAGCTGCCGACGAGTTGGAGTGCGCATTGCCGCTGGGCGCAGAGATCTAACAACCATAGTTACAGGTGGCCGCCGCCGCGCCCACTTCCACCGCGTCACCAACTTCAGCACCATTGAAGGAGGCAGAAAACCGAGATGCCGGGGAGGTGGAACAACACTTCATCGTCGAGGTTAGGGATGCCATCCCCAACTAGTTCTCGTGCAAGGTTTCCACTGCATCTTCTGGGAAGATGGCTTTTTGCTTTCCAAGATCGAAAAGTTGGGAAAGATGGCAAGGTTTTAATTGGATGGCTTTTTGATTTTCCATGATCGAAAAGTTGGGAAGATCTGAAGATGGTTTTTTTTGTTGTTGTGACGGGATGGCCTTTTGATTTCCATGTTTACGTCATTTCAAATTTGAGGGTTTTTTTATTTCTGTTTAGTTAATTTTTTTAATTAATTATTATCCACGTGGACAGTTACAGAGTAAAAGAGCTCGCCACGTAAGCCCTTTCGTTTGACCAGTCACACTTAACGTTAACAGCGTTAAAGAATCGTACGGAAGTGGATATTAGTGGTGTTTCGCCAAATGTGGCTATAAGTGGCACAAAGGTGAAAGTTTTGGCTATGCAAGTGTATTTTGCCAAAAAAAAAAAAAGACAAAGTTGTTTATGTTAATTTGGTTGTTGTCTACCTCCTATGTCTTTGGTCCGTATACTTATCGAAAAAACATCCACGTAGTCATTGCGGAATCGCTCCATCTTTGTCTCTCACGTTTCTTAACTCTCTTCCAGAAATTAAAGTCCTCAACCATTATGCATCTCATGCTCCCAACTAGGGGTGGGCATTGGGTGGGTCGGGTGGATTTTGACCATAAAATGCACCCACCCGTGCTTAAACGGATTGATTATTTTTAACCCACCACCCACCCACATTTAGTCTCGGGTTGGGTCGGGCGGATGGTGGATGATGCGGGTGGGTTTGTGGGTTCACCCACATCACAATTTATATAATATAAAGGAGTCAACTTGACATGATAATAGGTGAAGAGAATCATCGAGGGAAACCAGAAGTTGAAATAGGGCGAAAAATGTCGAATTAGTTCTTAAATTGGATAGAAATTCTATTATGAAAGAGTTTTCTACAGATTGAGACGATTATTAGGTGCAAGGAACTAAGGAAAATAATTCCACAAAGGAAAGAGCGTTGATCTAGGCACAAGAATTAGAGGAAAAAGTAAAGGGAAGAAGAGGGGGATCTCTATTTGGAAGGTTGGCTTTGAGGTTAAAACTCCAGGAGCAGTCCGAGTTTATATCTAACGTCTCCACTCTCCTCTCTCTAGCGCCAACGAATTTGATTTTTTTGCTGTTGGGTTGAGCAGGTCACCCGCACACTCACCCACAACCCACCCACCACCCGGCGGATGGCTCCCAGCGCAACCCGTCACCCACCCACAGACCCACCTACTTAATGAAATTTGGGTCAAATGCGGGTAGGTCGGCCCAAACCCGCGGATGATCCGCCCGCATGCCCATCCCTACTCCCAACTTCTCTTCATGCGAAACTCACGTGCACAACAATGAACTGTGAGTCTGTGACACCAACTCAATTTCATATTTTTGTTTCTATTGTAATGTTTGCCAGTTTCAATCCCTCAATTGGCGCCAAAAGCCTCCCTCGTTGTTCATGCCATCCATTCTGTCCCTATTTTCTTTTTTCCTAATGTTTAATTCTATCTCTTTAATTATGTACGATGTACTATGTCATAATCCCCAAATCACACTGAATAATTAAAAATATATTTATTTGTAATATAACAAACAATAAATTACTTGAAAGAGGATGGAAAGCAGAAACATCAAGAATAAATATAATTTATTAGCTAAACATTTTAGACTTCTGGAAACATTCTTCAGAATTCGCAGAATACAAAATATTAGCCAAATCTCTTGTAACTTATCAAAATATTAGTATGCCGCCTCTTGCCTTTTAGAATACTAAACTTGTTTTCATTTCCAGAATCTAATTTCAGGATTTATCAAAATTCTTAGCTAAACAAGTTTTTTCTGGTTTTGTTTCCTAGAAAACGACAACTTTGTTTTCATTTTAATTTGTTTTCTGTTGCGGCAACTATAATAAACGAAATGGCAAATGAACGACCTTAATGTTCCATTCACTTTCATTCCGTTTCTTACTGCCACAACAAAAATCAGTAAACACGGACAAAAAAAAAAAAAGGGTTATAGGTATAATATGCCCCTCTATTATAACGTTTTATCAAACATGTCCCTCTACTATTTTTTACATCAAACATGTCCATGTACTTTGAAAAAATTATCAAACATGCCCTTCTGTCAAAATTTCCATTGAAAAAATCATCAATCATGGTTGAACCAAGATTTAGACGATCCGACATCGACAAATAGCGATGATGTCAGTTTTGTCTCCCGTTTTATTTCTCTAGGTCTCTTGAAAGTGAAATTATTTGAATTATTTGGCTATACAAAAGAACAAAAAAATCTAAAGTAAAATTATTAGGGATATTTTAGACATTTGTGCCGCTCAGACCAAAGTTCGACCTTAGTTAATGGTTTAGTTAATGGTTTTTGGATGGAAATTTAAGCAAAAGGGCATGTTTCTGGTCTAGACTTTTCTCAACTTCTTGGTTGTAGACTTGTAGTTATAGTTAAAGTTACATCAACCTTTTTAAAATTTGTTGGATGTCCCGTCCTATTTAGTCTTATTAGAAAACAATATGAAGTAATTAAATATGGTTCAATTTTCAATGTTCAAATTCAAATTCGCCAAATTTGTCATTTAAACAAGTTTAATTTCATGTTTTGTTTTCAAAAAGCGATAGCTTCGTTTTCATTAGAATTTATTTTCTGTTGTAGCAACCACTAAAAATAGAATGACAGGTGCACGTGGCATAAGCATAAAAGCTATTCTAACACAACTGATCAAGATTACTTAAGTGAGCAAATGTAATCTGATATTGTCTGAAACTTTTCCCCTTCATCCTCAACTAAGTTATGTTTCTACTTTATCTAGGAACCGAAAAACTTCTCTAATCCATAGATATTCCACCATTCTTACTCAAATAAAGTAAAATTATTCATTAAAATGGGCATGCAGTAGGATATGATTTTTTTTACATGGATGACTATATCTATTTGTCCATATCTCCATACATGTACTAGCTTTATTAGTAAAATTAGGTCAATGCAGATAGGGATGGCAATGGGTAGGGTCGGGTGCGGGTTTACCCTATACCAACTCCTAATCCGCCGGGTAGAGCTTTCTAAAATATCCGACAAAATAACCACCGGGTATGAAAATTATATAATTATACCCTACCCACCGGGTAACCACGGGTATTCGGGTAACCATGAGTACGAATCCTAAACTATGAACTTATACACATATATGCACATACATACTGTTGTCCATTAAAAATTCTCAATACTTGTAACTGTTCTAGCTTCAACAATCCACACAAATAAAAACAGCAAACACATAATAATTGTTCTTGCTTCTACAATCCGCACAAACATAATAATTGTCTACATCTTCATCATCAATAATGGTAGCTAAACTCAATTTCTCAAGCTAAAATAAATTTCTCAATACTTGTAACTGTTCTAGCTTCAACAATCCACACAAATAAAAACAGCAAACACATAATAATTGTTCTTGCTTCTACAATCCACACAAACTTAATAATCGTTTACATCTTCATCATCAATAATGGTAGCTAAACTCAATTTCTCAAGCTAAAATAAATTTCTTAAGGGAAATTGACCACTTGGTTAGCGGGGCGGGTATTATCGATTACCATACCCGTATCCTACCCTTTATTTTGAAACCGGGTATTACCCGTACCCGCCCCTTAACCCGTCAAAGCGGGTAATTATCCTCGTTAACCGGTTACGGTCGGGTAGGGTACCCATGGTTACGGGTTGTATTGACATCCCTAAATGCAGGTTTCAACTATTACTTAATGCCCTCAAACATAATTTGATCATTTAGCCTTCATCCCTCTCTCTTGCCAATTAAATAATCCCTTGCAAGACTTAATTCTTCATATTTGTCACAATTCAATCTCTTCCTATAATAAATTTCGCGAATAATTTGTTGTTTGAATCAAGTATTGATTTTATGGTTTCAGTTAGGTTAAACAAAATGGGAAATAACCATGGGTATTCATAGATCAACAAGTAAGGAGATGATAAAGCAAAAATTCAATCCACACCATGTATGATAGGTGGGTTCTAGATCTTAAAATAAAGAATAATATAGGAGTGATTATTTTTTCACCCAAAGAATGCCTCTACTTATAGGGTTTGAGACTTGAGATATAAAAACTCCATCGCTACTGACATCGTTCCCATCTCCTCGAGGCTCACCCTCCACACTTCCAGCCTCCCTCCAATAAGCGACTTCCTTCCCGATTTCGAGATCTTCTCTCTCAAATCACCGAAGGAATTTTCTCCCTACACCTTGGTGTAGAAAAACCAAGTGATAATCCTAGATGTGGCCCCAAAGTGGAATTGACCGGTGGTGGTTGGTCGAAACTCCAGTAGGTAGCCACTCCCTTCTCAGGGAACCGTACGTGAGATTTCTGCATCATACGGCTCCGTCTCGAGCTTCCGTCGTCGGCCCTTGTCATTAGACCACTATCTATGCATGTATTTTGAGCCTGGGACTCTCGAATCTTTTGCTTCTCGGGTGGTGGCGAACAATGCGGCTTGCGTTGCGGGAGACGCCCGTCTTAGAGCCCGGCCTGCCTCTCGCCCGAAATAACCGCTCACTAGCTAGCCGGACTAGTGGGGGGCCCTATCTAGAGACATACTGAAAACCATGCCTTTCGAACCGAACGCAAGGCCCGTCTTCCAAATAAAAAGAAAGAAAAAAGGGCTCCACAAGGTATTTTGATGGTAGCTACTCAAAACTAGATGTTCAATGACAGAAAGTAAAATCGATGGGTTGAGGTTCCCTATACGACTCAAGTAGATCACTAAAGAAAATAGAAAACACACAAAAGTTTATTCAAGGGACAAGTTGTTCAAGAAGTATCATCTAGATGAGCATGTATACTTCTCCTTAATAAGATGCATATATGCATCAATGTTATGTTGACACTCTATCCTTTCCTCTAAGGCCATTCGCTACCTGTGCATGCGCCTCTTGCTATTGGAATTTAACTAGCTAATGTGTGCTTTCACTTCATGCCTTCAACTAATTAATGAAGAATGGAAGTGAGGATAGCACATTGTTTATTTTGCGCTTCTACGAACCATAAAAATGGTACATGGTACTGGGGGTCTTTAGCCATCTAGCATCATCATTCGAACACTAAAAGGTTGTACTTCCCTCCTAATGCACGTCTAACAATGATGCCCACTACACGAGATTAATTTCCTTGTCTCTAATGGTAGTAGTGTAATAAGCACACATAGTAATGCAATATAGAAAGATAACAAACATATGAAGAACTAAACCATTAATACTCCAAGAAGGACAATCAATACTTTAGAGAATCTCATTAACTCATAGAAAATAATACATCACATCATCGAATCAACACCCCAAACAAAAAAGAGTTAACTAGCCATGCGAGAATGAGAAAGAACAGACAAAAAATGAGTCATTCTCTCCTCACTCCGGCAGAACTTTAGCAGTTCTTAGTTGTAAAATACCTCCTAATTGAAGTCTAAACACCTATTTATAGTACAAAAGAGAGGGTACAAAGGGAATTTTTCTCCAAAAGTCAGCCAATTCCTCCCTTATCTGACTTGAAGTCGGTTTTCATCAACTTATGGAAGAACTAGCTTGCTGAAGAAGCTTTCTTGAGGATTAGGATTTTAGCGGCGGCCGGGGCTATCGTTCTTCTCTTTATAGCACTTTACTCCTCCGCAGTTCTCCAATGCTTGATCCAAATTTCCTTAGGTTATTTTGTACCATAAAAACCATAAAAAACACACCTAGAAGGCATCAAAGAGTACAAGAACATAACCTAGGTCTATTAAAGGCTCATTGATCAAATAATTGTGAGTTAGATATTAAATACTATTAAAATGACTAAAAATGTTTCGATAAAAGGGGGAAATGTATCAAGAATGAGAGTGACAAATACTATAAATATAATGTCATCACACCTCCCTTCTCAGCCAAACAGTTGCATCAGCTCCCCCATAGCCACGAACGAAGGTGTCTCCATGTTTCACACTCCTCCTACGAAATCTGGATTGATGTCATGCTCCCCTAGCTCTGGTAGCCCTTACTTGGGGCATTGCCTCTTGTTAAATATCGTCATGATTGACAGCCCCATCAAGTCCTCCTTTCGATTTCTCAAACTCCAAATAATTCTCCGGATCACCCAAACTTTTAACATGATTTTTTGTGCAAGTAGTGTTGAATTTAACATAGTGATCTTAATATGAACTTGGGGTTAGAGAGAAACAAAAATAACTTTTTGGGGGTGAAAGTTAGAATCTTTACTTTCTCATATATGCAGTTCTCTTACAAATAAGGTGGATCATACAGAATGAATAAATGATATGATCATGTACAAAAAAGAATAAAACAACAATTGGGCTAGAAAGTCGGAACCAAAATTATAAAAAGGGCAAAAAAGAACAAACTGAATGGCTGCTTGAAGTAATTGACACAAAATTATCAGTACTATTTGTTTTTTAGCTCTTGGGGTTGGTAGTAGTAAGGAATTCATTTATGATTGTCTTCTTTGGATTTTTTTGTCGTGTTTCTGATATATGGTTTTGTACAGTTATTTTTTATATAGAATTTGTAGTCTTCTTCACTGAGATTATGAAATCGGTGTTGATCGTCGGAGCCTCATCTTGGCCTGCTGGAGCTCATCATTGTCTCCATCCATCATCTCACCAGTGAGTTGCCTCTGGAATCTTGGTGAATCAGCAGCTCCTGACTCTCGGTTCAATCTGCTTGCGGCTCTGGGTGTCCACCGCCCACTTCCGCTCCTTCTCGCTGATGGAGATTCTGGCGGTGGCGGGGCGACTGGTACAGTGCTACCAGTTTTCTTCTGCACAAAAAGTTTTGACACCAAATCAATCAAATCCTTTTTAGAAGATTCTAATGTTTCTATTTGAGGACTCCTTTCATTCTCTAGGTGCTGGCACATGCAAGAGAGATTCCTATTTATACTTTTCAAAGGAACTTCAGTTTGAAAGTTATGAATGTGTAGTTTGTATGGGTTGAGTGCTTCTGATTTGCTGTGTATTATGATGATTAATATATATATATAGCAGAACTAGTTGTCATGCATATGGATATTGATTGTATGCATATGAAATATGGGCAGTTGAATGAAATTTTGAAATTGCAAGGAATGATAAAGAAATTAAATAACCATAAATAATAATGGGCTTGGAGGAAACTCATAGAAAGCAAAAATCTTATTTCACAAAGCACAACAAAACAGAAAGTAGAGTGAGGAAAGTTGCAATTTTTCAGTACATAGCTCTAAAGGCTCTCCATCGGAGTGCTTAGTAATTAGTTGTTATTGGAGAATGGATGCTTTGAGTCTTATGGTGGTTGTCTAATGGGGCATCGTATGTGAGTTCTAAGACTTGAGACTTGAGAGAGAGAGAGAGAGAGAGAGAGAGAGAGAGAGAGAGAGAATTTTACTTGAGTTTGCTTGGTGGCGGTAGCATTGCCAAACCTTACAGATTGAGTAGCTAACTGCTCCAGAACTTGGAAGATAGTTGATTGCCCCAACTTGGCGCAATTCTGCCAGTAGTATATGGTGAAATCCCAAACTCTTGCTCTAACTTCTTGCAACTTTCTATCTATCTCGGTCTCATGCTTTGCCACATATGGCTTTAAGAAGTTGTTGTACATGAAGCAAGTCCCCTACAAAGACGATAACCCCATTTCAATTCAATTTCAAAGTTAACTTTCAAGCACATTCCTTAGCTTCTTCTGACTATATTCTCTCCTTACTTACCTTGGTTTTGGGATACCATAACCAAATGAAAAATCCCAACTTGGCCTCTCCATAGAACGGCAACCTTCGCCACAAACCAAGAGTTCAGTCCAAGTTAACATAATAATGTGTTGGAAATTTGTATTCTTACAATTACTATGCTAAGTTTTAGTACGCTTACCAAGACAAGAAAAAGTCACCAAACCTTTCAAAAACCGTTATTAGTGCAACAATGATCCTGCAACACAAAATTTTCATTTCATAATATTCTTGCATGACTATAAAGATCTAAAACATCTATTGATGGAGAACAACAACATAAAGATACCACGAATTCCAGTATAGACTAAAACATTAATGCAAAGAGGCCTATGAAATCATAAAGTGACACCACTATCAGAAGATCCTATTTCATAATTCAGTTATGAAATGATGGCTTAACGGATGGAGAACGAAAGTAACAAACGACAAGATTTTCATGAAGGAAGAAACCCGCCTCACCCAATAATAATTTTGTTAGATGACCAATACAAGAAACAAAGGCAAGCCTAATTTAGCAGGAAAATGAGGCTACCCCTGGAATCATACTTACCAATATTGACACCAAAATATGACTTCTTCCATGTTGATTTTGTTCTTCTCAGCCGACTTGAAGCATTCAAATGCCGGGTATGCATACCCAAAAAACAACCTGCATAAACAAAACAAGTCCCCTTTATTTAGATTTTGGATAAAGAATTACATTGCCCACAACTAAGTTGAGAAGATTAAAAGGCTACATACAAGAGGCATCTGTTTATGAAATCTCCCAACATCCTTTAAAGCCTGAAGATGCAATACCTCCCCACCTTCCAAAACAAGTTTAAAAAATTCTCTGAAAATTTCAAACAAACACTTCTTCAGTATGGGTACTTTGACACCAGCCCATAAACCAAGGACAAGAAAGCAAGAAAAAGGAAGAAGTTGGAAGACAATTTCCACCACCACCTCTGTAACCGGAAATATGATTTTGTATTCTTTATGTTTCTATTTCTCTCTCTCTAAATGTCAACGAATGAACTTGCAAAGGTGGGAACTAAGAAGAACTGCACCCTAAGAGAAAAAGAGATCAGAATCCAGATATCATAATAGATAAACACGTGAAGGGAATTGATAATTGATCCAAAATCCACACCTTTTTTTATTATATATGTTATAAGAATGTCTCTGATTCTGCGAATTAAGAAAGGGCAAGGAATGGCATCCGCAGAAACGTGAGACTAAAGGCCCAGACTGCGATCAAAAGATGATGAAGAAGAAGAAGATTATTGGGAAAAAATAAGGAAAATTTTGGGTGAAATATTAGAATGAAAGGTGGGCTATATATAGCATATAGTTAGTTATTTGATTTGGGGGATGGAGAATAAAGAGCGATAACGAGAAAAGGAAGGGAAATTGCGGAGTTTCCAACAACATAAGAGATTTCTTGGCAGAGACACATCCTCGCATTTTTTGACACGTGAAAATTTTGGGTTGAAATTAGAGAGAAGGGAAGGCGAAGGGAAGATGCTCTATCTAGTCGTCTAGCAAAGGGAGTAAAGTAAGACAACCATATAGTTAGTTATTTGATTTGGGGATGGAGAAGAAAGAGCAATAATGAGAAAAGGAAGGGAAATTGCGGAGTTTCCAACAACAGAAGAAATTTTTTAGCAAAGACACATCCTCGCATTTTTTGACACGTCAAAATTCTGGGTTGAAATTGGAGGGAAGGGATGGCGAAGGGAAGATGCTCTATCTAGTCGTCTAGAAAGGGAGAAAAGTAAGACAACCATTATAGGGAGATTATAGGGATATTGCGGAAGGAGAGACTCCCATGGGATTCTTCCATTGTTGGGGCAAAAAAAAAAAAACACACACACACACACTTAAAAAAATCTTGTGAAAATTCATTATTTTTCAGAATGTTAGAAACTCAGGGTATTCTCTTGAATTTTCATCCCACGACAGTTAAGAATTGGAGGGCAAGTGAAAGTATAGAGGATGAAAGTCCTTTCATTGCTATCATAATATTTATTTATTTATTAGTATATGGCCTTTCAGAATATGCAAAAAGTACTCTATAGGTTTTGTGAATTTTATGACCTACCTCTTATTACACGGAAATGCCTGTAAAAAATTGATTAAAATAACAATAAAGTTCTAGGCATTTTTTGACACAAAGTAGTGAGTGAGCTATTAGTTCAAGCATATATTGATGGTCCCAAATGAAATATTGATGGACAAAAGCATGCAACACAATTACACAACATTTCCTTTGCATATAGCATAGTTTAACTTTGATACATGAAGTTTGTGAATAAAATCAAATACGTATTTTGTAACTTGTAACATCCCGACCTTTTCTGACCAAGATATTGTGTTTGGGCTCTAAACTCTCATAGTTTTGATTATGGGGTGCATCATAGTGACTTCCTGGGAGGTCATCCATCTTTGCACAGCTCCACACTGAGCACGTTCAACTTTAGAGTCTCATAAGAACTCCTCCATTTCCCCAAAACGCTTCTTGTCAGGTAAGATCGGTTTCTAACTTATGAATCATGGATCTCTCCCATGCTTTGTCGATGTGTGGTTTCCTAAGGTATTACACACACCTCCTCGGGGAATCAACGTCCTTATTGAGGTTTACCCCACCAATTCAAGAGGGAGGCGGAGAAGTTCTCATACCATTTGTAATATCCCGACCTTTTATGAAAAATATATTGTCTGCTTTGGGCCTACACTGACAAGGTTTTAATTTTGGGTTGCATCATGGTGACTTCTCGGGAGGTTATCCATCTTTTCACTGCTCCATATTAAGCACGTTTAACTTTGGAGTCTTACAAGAACTCCTCGATTTCGCCCAAAATGCATCTTGTCATTTAAGGCCGGTTTCTTACTTATGAATATGGATCGCTCTATACTTTGTTGATAATGAATTTTCCGAAAGTGTTGCATTTATTTTTGATCTTTTAGGGATCTCTCAATATCATATTGTAGCTCTAAATTTTACTTCCTTTATCTTGCAGTGGCCTTGAGTGAAATAATTTTGTGTTTTATACCCTTCCTAAGCCAATCCATCATTTATGCTTTGGTATTAATGTTGTCTACTTAATGAGATTCATCTATTGAGCTTAATAACCCTATGTTTTCGATAACTTGTCTGGTCTGGTTGGTATTAGAGGTAGCTAAGAGATTTTTTCTTAATTTTCCTCTGTATGTCTCCAATCTTTTTGGGCTCATTCTTAGTAGCTTGATTTTGAAAGATCCCAATTTATTTATAATATTTTCATCCCCATACGATTCACAGAACTGAGCAACAACTTCCTTGCACTTCGGGACTCTTAGCCAAAAGGGCTCAACCTGAAAATACCACCTCCAATGCTCTTCAATTTATTCCCTTCCATTTGGTGAGTGTTTAGAATGACATTTTTCAAAATGAAAATTTTGAGTTGTCATTCTAGTGAGTTATCTTTTCCCCGAGTGTTACACTCTATATTGTTGCTTGGAATCAAGATGACTTCCGCCATATAGATATAGTTTCTTCTTTGTTTGTTTGTTTTTATCATCTCTATGAACTTAACTCTTACGTTGTTGGGATATTGTTGGAATGAGATAAACCATAGGGATGTTATTTTCATTTATTGCATGCAACATATATATAGATATTGATGGTTGTTTTTCCTCTATATATCCTTTGAATTAGGTGAAACTTAATATCAAGTATATTGTATGACTAGTTGATAGGGGTTTTAATACATGAGAATATTGAGTTACCATTGAATTGGAAATTCCGATGATAAAAAGAAGTAACATTAGATATGTATTGTGTTTGATTGATGCATGATAACTAGTTAGGGGGATTTAAGTTTGGACAATGCTTGTATCAATATGTGAATCTTTGTTGGTGTATGAGTGATTTGGTTCAATTTTCTTTCTTCAATTAGTTTAGTTAATTAAAATCCTTTCTTGAAATTGGTCAAATAATAGCAGACAATTTGGTATTAGTAGATAGTCTATCTGGGATAGACCTTAGTTGATATCTATTAAATGTAGAAGATAAATACACTTGCATGTAGTTTTTTGCACTAGACTAGACAACGACCATTGCTCTACTTTCCAATCCATCACGTAGAACATTGTTTCAATATTTCCTCGATGAAATTTTCTTCTCGGTGTCCATTATCCCAATTATACAGATAATTCACATAGTCACAGTTCATCAAGCCACATAAATCCACATCACCATCAAAATGGATAACGAGATTTCCATGAATTTCCCGAACTCTTTGTCTTCAATTGAGATAACACTTGCAACCTATGTAGATTGATGTTAGCTTTGAAAAAACTACAAAGAGCCCAGGTCAGATGTCTTTCCTTACGGTCAAGTTTACCATAGAAACTCGTAAACCTCCAAAGATGCCCAAAAATAATATAATCCACCTCCACATCAAATTGACAAAGTGAACAAGAAATAATAGAGAGATTTCTCCTATCTCAAGAGAAGACATAAACCTATTCCTGAAATTTCTTTTGCTATGACATAACCCCATTCTTGAAACCTAATACTTTCTTAACAATCTCCCAATCTTGCTAAGAATGGCAAGAGTACATAAAAAAATGTGAGCATCTTATTTTCATACGAAGGCAAAGAAAAAGCTAAGTGGATCGACTCCACCTAGGCTATGGGAGCAAAAGAGCCCCTCGAAATACTGCACAACAATTCTAATCTTATCCTCTTCAGAGGTGACCCAAATTCCGTTCGCACCCTCCAATTCACGAATAATATTAGCTTGTCGTTGAACATGACTAACCAGATGAAAATATGTTGTGTTACGATCTCCTTCCTACAACCATTTGATTCGAGATTTTTGTTTCCATTGCAGTTTCTCCCTCTGATATTGTTCAACAGGATTAACCCACAACCAATGTAGTCAAAATCGCGCTTTAAAACTTAAAAACTTGCGATTTTACGTTTCTAGGTCACTAAAACGCTTCTAAACAAAATCTAAGTTTTTATAACTTACGTAGTTAAAAACTCTGCTTTTAAACTTAAAAACTTACGATTATACGTTTTTACGCTTCTAGATCACCAAAAAGTTTCTACATCGAAACTCGCTTTTGACTACATTGTCCTCAACCACTAAACCTTACTCCAGTCTACTAACTGGTTATCCCCGACCTTAGCAAGGAGCCATCCAAAACTATAGCTATAGCTATAGATAGAGAACAATTTTTAATTAAAACAAGGGTTAATAGCATTTTGTACCCCTCTATTATGCTAAATTAACAAACGTACCCCTCTATTAAATCTTTACACAAACATATCCTTTTAATATTAAAATGTAACGAATATACCCTTCCGTCTAATTTTCTGTTAAATGGCCGTTAAAGAAGTTGTAAAATCACCCAATTACCCCTCATTTACTCTTAAACAAACATAAATTCAATTTTAATTATTTTGTAACCCAAAGTAATTCATTAAAAAGCCAAACCCCCCACAGATCGTCCGTCTCCCCCCTGAAGTCACCGTTGGCCGTCGATCCGGCGGCGACCCCTGCTCCCGGCATCTCCTCGGCGATTGGAGTAGAGATAACTGGTTGATAGGCGAGAAACGAAGATTAGCTTTCCAGATTCTCCCTGATCTCGACCTTCTCCCTTTTCTTTCTCTGATTCCCCTCCGACGACCAGACGGCGGTTAGGTAAGTCGCCGAATGTGTTTGGCTCCCCTTCCACTTCGTCGGCAACCGTCGATTATATTTCCCTACGCCTTTTCTAAACCTTCGATTCCTTCCTGGCTTCCGGGTTAAAAGCTAGTTTATGTAATTAAACCACTACAGCACATGCATCTCTCATATTTCTTCATCGGCGGGGAACAGTGAAACTCTTTCTCAAAAGGAAAGCACAGAAGTTGCCGGCCTCAATACCTTTCTAACATCCATTGAACCCACGTCTTTGGTCCCCTGTTTCAGTTCTTTCATAAATGGAAGGAAGCTACATGCAATGCAAGTCAAGCCGACATCCGTCCTCGTCAATGGAAAGCAATGAGCTGACGCAAACAAAAAACAACGGGAGGTTCGTTTTCTTGCTTCATCCATCATCATGTCTCACTCTCTCACCCTTCCAGTTGCTGCGTCTCCGTCACTGGGTACTAAATCGGCACATTTTTGTAGCAGATTATGTCTTTCAGTTGCCAAACGCCCGATTTCTGTCGTAGCGTGGGGGATGTGTCATCGTAGAAATTGTTGTTTTGCACACATACCCCGAAGCCTCAAAATGCAACCCCAGCCGGATTCAATTGCTTGAATGCTTCTTCGTTACGTGCTTTCTCCTAGTTATTTATAGTTTCTGCCTCTGCTGCATTTTGGAACACATCTTAATTACTCTGAGGAATAAGGGACTTGGATTTGGTTCTTTCAGGAAATGGGTAGTAAGGATTTGGACCCTAACGTTGTCAAGTCTGCGAATTTCCGGGTGTGCAAGGTTTCCAGGTAACTTATGGGGATATATGGTACAACTTGTTAGCTATGGTGGCTCTGTATCTGGTTTTATAACTGTGTTTTTCTTTACTGTCCAGTTACACTACCGAATTGCTAGAGATTGAAGCTGATAACCCGACATTGCATGTTGTCGTTGTCCCTGGGAATCCAGGTAACGTTTTTAATGTTCCTGTGGCTGTTATCTGTGGTATTATTAACCCATAGGGTTTGCCTGTTTACAACAGTTATAGTTTCGTTTTACAAGGACTTTGTGGAGTCGCTGTACGGTTCACTAGGAGGGACTGCTTCCATTACAGGCAATTCTATTTAGTGTCTCATGTTGATCCAATGTTATGAGATTTGTGATGCTGTGGGCAGAATCTAAATTTGACTGTTTGTGTTTCTTCATCCACAGCCATTGGATACATCGGTCACACGAAAGAGGTAGGTGTATGAGAATTCTAGGCATGTACTTGCTTGCAAAGTGGTTCTTCTTATTACTTCTGATATCTGTTGCATCTAGCTTCATGATGTAATAGTGCTTAGGCCTTAGAGTTCACATATCGAATTGCTCTTATACCCACAGTAACATCAAAGTAGAGTTGGGTTTTGGTATGTTATACTTGTCTGGAATTATGTGATAGCTTCCTTCCTATGTTTGTTTGTATGTGCAGAACTGGGAGAATGGGAAGTTGTTCTCCTTGCAAGAACAAATTGATCATAAGGTATTCATCTGCATGCTTAATTTCATCTACAAGTTTGTTTTTCTTCTCGAGCTTCGTTTCCTTTTTCCTGAAGAACTGTTGGGTTTATGAGTTATGTTTCCTCTTTGTAGGTGGATTTCATTTGCCAGGAACTGCAAGATACCAAAGTTCCCATAGTTTTGGTAGCGATCATTATTCTGTTTCTAATTTCCGTTCCTTGAGTTGAGTGATAATGATTACTGTTGAATCTGTGTTTGGGAATTGAAATTCCTGTTAACTCACAAAACTACATTTGCGAAGGTTGGGCATTCTATTGGTTCCTACATAACGATGGAGATGTTGAGGAGAAAGGGAGAAATGGTAAAGATGGATATTGAGTTAAGCTACATCTTGTACACATCATTACTCCGTTTAACCGTTTGATATGTTACTCTTGCTTTACAAATTGCAGGTGATATATACCATAGGGCTGTACCCCTTTATAATGGTGAATCCTCTATCAAAGAAGCAGGCTAAAGTTAGAAACATGACGAGGTATGTCTGTTAAAATATCTGTTTCTTGCAGTTCTGGCATCTTGTCCAGCTTGATTCGTCCGTGTATCGAGGTTATGTAGTTGTAGTATGCCTACAGCTTGATGTTGCAAAGGCATGGCTGGTTAAATCTGGAAAATATTCAGTTCAAATGATGGAGATTGATTCTCTAATCGGTTGGGAACTTCTGATACTATTATTGTTGATTTCGACATATTCATGGAGATGAATTGAATTTTCAGATCCTCCATCCTCTGTGGACTGATGAGCTTGATGGCAGCATTTGTTGGATTATTTCCCAAGTGGTTTTCCCAGTACATGCTGGTACTGTTTGTCATTGGCAAGAGGTCATGGTCATGGTCTAATTCTGCTTTTGAGACTGCTCATGCTCATTATCTCAAGGTGCAGTCTCTTCCTTTGTTCTCTCTTCTCCACAGTAGATCAAAAGATTCCTTTCTTCCTACAAGGGTTCTATAATTTTGCCATCCATCTCGATGGTGTGTGTGTTAAACAATCCTCGTACTATGAAGTTTAATGATTTTTCGGGTTGGTTTGATTTGTTACACAGTACCATATGTTCAGGAATATGCTTTACATGGCAAAGACAGAATTAGAGCAGGTGAGATTCTCTTACTCCTTTTTGAGGATGACGAGTCCTGGGAAAACATAACAATCGCGGGTGTTTGGTTATGTCAGCTTTCGCAGGAACCGGACTGGGAGTTCATGAGAAAGAATCACAGGAGATTGGCATTCATGTTTGGTGCTCATGACCACTGGGGGCCTTTGCAAGTATATGAGGAGGTTAGTTAGTGTCCTGAAAGTTGCATCCTTTTAGAGAATGTAGTTTAGGATGAGTGGCTTAATGGATCGATTCGGTTTTCGATTGTTTGTTTGTTTCGTTCTTTGCCGGTCTGCAGATTGCAAAGCAGATCCCCAAGGTGCCCTTAGCAATCGAAAGGGAAGGCCATTCCCACAGCTTCTGTTGCACTGAAGCAGGCTCTATGTGGGTTGCGAGGCATGTAGCAACCTTGATAAAGGCTCGAACTTCAAGCTCCGCAGCAGCTTCTGCAGCAGATGATGCGACCCTTGCTCACTATGCAAACTAGTTGGGGATCATACGACAATAATGCTTACAATTATGCAGGGGCGGAGCTAGAGAATTCCATGGCGATCACGTGTAAATGTATCAGGTTCTTTGAAAATTATCAATTCTGTAAAAAGTACAAATGATATATAGTAACTAAACCGTGCAGTAAAGTCTCACTGTTGTTACTTAATCTGTTTCTACAAGTCCCTCAACATCCCCCATTATTACAGTAAAATGTGCATTTGTGTATTTGAAGATTTTTATTTATTGCTAAAATTTGGTGCCATGAATAGAACAATATAAACTAAATTAATGTATAGTGGTGACCACTTGGTATTTATCTCAAAGTTCGATGCCATTTATGTAATTAAACCATTCTTTACTCTTTCCTTCCCTTATATATCCCTTCTTAAATCGGGTTTTTTTCCCCATCCAATTTCCACAAACGTCTTCACCAGTTCGTTTTCGTTCGCAAGATCAAAGCCCTCTCTTATCCTTCTCGACTCCTTCTTGACTACCATAACAGATCGACCGTTTCCTTCAGTAAGTCTCTCTCTCGGACTCGATCTTTGTGCAGTCACTCTGGATCCTACTACAAATCACGTTTCTGCTTTCAATGTGCTGCGAATCTGGAGCTCAATTGAGTTTCCGGATTCCAATTGCTTCTGGGTTGGTTTGATTTGGACTCAGGGTAGTCGATGAGTTTGATAGGTTTGACTCTTTTGAGACTTGTTGAAGTAGGATCGCATGCTTTTGGTTGTACTGAACCTTTCTGAGATTTCTGTGATCGTATGATCTGTTGTAGTTAAACCACAAACGAGGTAACTCGCTTGAGTTTCATTGTGCTTCTTGTTCTTTATGATATAGAGATCAATGTAATTTGATGCTGTGTTGTCGGTGTATTTCCTCCCGCTCTTTTTATCCGCACACCATGTTTGGATTGGCTTGAAACTTAACAGTTGATGCTGACTGCTGAGCCTTCCAAAAGTTTGGATCTTGGATCGATTTCAATGTTGTACGGATTGAGGGTTATCATGGGTCGATCTTATCTGTGGCTGCCCCTTACTTAGATAATTTTGTATGATCCATTCGATTTTAATTACTCCAAGGAGATATCTTATTCCCCATAGTCAGTTGCTAATCTGCTAATTTGTACTTGCTGGGATTTTTTAATTGAAAAATGAAGAATCTCTTAGGTAAGGAAGAATGGAGTCCAGCAGGGGTAATGGAATTCAACTCCTTCTAGCTGCAGAGCAAGAAGCTCAGCACATTGTCAATGCTGCAAGAAATGGTAAGCACTTTTGCCCCTTTTTAGGAATCCACCATTTGATATCTTAGTTTGCTCTGACTGCATATTCACTTGATGGTTTCTATACCGGGGGCTTACTGTATTTTGAAGTTATATCATCTTGTTTAGTTCTCTATACCAACAGTTAGGTTAAAGATGTTTGGATATGTCGTGAGGTTGCTTATGATTTTACTTAAAAGGCTTGGATTGAATTGCTGTCCTTTGCCTATTCTTGGTTGGTTGGGATTTTGCCTTTTTTCTCCCTAAGGGTGGAGGCAGTTTAAATCTTGATAATTTCATGCTGGTGAGAATTAGCTCAGCTACACACTAAAGTTGGCTCCTTGCACTTCTGCCTTCATATTGTTTCCCTTTTGACTTTTTGAAACTTGATTTTGCAAAATTGAGGCTTGCAGTGAAATGGTGAAGTTTGAATTGGAACTCACTTCTTAATTTAGAAATTCAAGAACATTGTGTTGTTTTCCCCTGGTGAATCTAGGTTATTGTATAAACTTGAGAGGAATTATTGGTTTTGACTCATTAGCTGCTTCACCGAATGAATTTTGAGATAATGAGATTCGCTTGTTTTATGTAGCAAAATTGGCTAGGCTGAAACAAGCCAAGGATGAGGCTGAAAGGGAAGCTACTGAATTCCGCGCCCAAATGGAAGCTCAATATCAGGCAAAGCTGACAGAGGTAATAAACTAGAGAATTAGACGAGCCTCATTGATTGTGCCTCACACTTTGTTCAATTTCCGATCAAATTGCTTGTTTGGAACACTACCTCCATGCCCAAATAGTCTGACTCTCTTGTGCCTCTGTGGGAAACAACAGACCAGCGGTGACTCGGGTGCTAATGTGAAGCGGCTGGAACAAGAAACCCAGGTGAAGATTGGTCACCTGAAGGAGGAGGGTTCCAGAATCTCTCATGATGTTATAGACATGCTGCTGAGGCAGGTTACCACAGTTAAGAATTAGGAGGATGTTGATCGATTGATACTCTGGTCAGCCAGGTTCTTTTCCGGAGAGAGTGAGTGATGAACACTGTGATGTGTAATATGTTGAAGGAGAGATACTGGGAGTTGGTAGCTTGGTGTGTATGTCAATTGCCTTCGAATCTACATACTTTTATGACGTTGTATTGTTTGATCATGGACTTCTTATTCGCGGTGTTGGAATAAATTCTCCTATTGTAGTGTTGACAAGTAAAATCCTGGTGGGCGACTGGGCGGCATGTTCATCATTTACAGAAATGAAACTGTAAACCGTAGCTGTTGAGGAAGACAGTCGGTGGGTTCTCTTCTCAGTAGAGGTGGCAAATGGATTGGATTGGTGGATTGGATTGGTGGATCCATGGATCAAATGGTTTGGATCTAATGGATTGGTGGATTCATGGATTGGATCAAGTGGATTGGTGGATTATTCATGAATCCAAATGACATCCTCAACCAAGGATCAATATTGTAAAATGTAAAAAGTTTAGGTACTAAAATGTCACAATGAAAAATTTTAGGTACCAAAACGTAATTTTCCAATGATATTTTTCATATAAAAAAATAAATTTTAGGTACCAAAATGTAAAAAATAAAAATTATAGGTACTAAACCGTAATTTGTCAATGATCCATGAATCCAATCCATGAATCCAATTCATGAATCCACCAATCCAATTGGATTTGGATCAAATGGATTGGATTTAAATGAATTGGATTAGGTGGATATTTTTAATGGATTGATGGATTGGATTGGTGGATTGGATTGAAATTGCCACCTCTACTTCTCAGCTAATCCACGCCTTGTGTTGGTGGCCGACGCCACTGCCATCGTTGCTGCTGCATTCTATGGGCCATATATTGGTGGGTTCCAGGCATGAACCTGAATCTAACTGGGCTAGGATGGGCCGGGCCTCGCTCTTACTCTCCATACTAAATAAAAGAAATAGGCTATACATGTAATGTATTGTTAAATTTGATGCATTGTAAAATACAATATTTGATATGTGTGATTGTGTATGTCACATTAGCTAAAAAATCAAAAAAATAATGCATTGTAAACAATACATGTAGAATAACAATCTCACCAAAACAATCGCACCTACCAAACGACCCCACATATACATGGTGAATATCCATCGACATGGTTAGGAGTGTGTTACGATCCGGTCCAAATTTCGGAGAACGGTTGTCCAATAGTGAAACACTTCTTAGAACCAAGGACCGATCAACAATGCATTCTATCTGGTCGAAATGTTAAATAGGTCCATTTTTCATCAATATTTATAAAATTCATATGATCAAGGACTGAACCATATCATATTCAGATAAGTGTGGTTCGATCCAAGTGTCGGCTTGGTCTAGTACGGTGCGACCAGTATCAATGCAGTTAAAAGCGCGATTCTACCTAGAAGCGAAAAATGGGTAAAATCGTAAAACGTAGAATCAAAGCGTAAAAGCGTAAGTTTTTGACGCACCTCTAAAATAGCTAAAATATGTTAGGTACAACATATAGTATGTAAAATGTGAGTGTGTAGATTTTATATAAGTGAATAAATACATTAAATTCATAATTAAAATATAATATCCAACACATAAACTAATTTGTATTGACTCAAAAGTAGAGAAAACTCATAATATCTTAATAATAAGCACATAAGTGTAGATCGTAACCCATAAACGAGTTTGAGAATCCAAATTCTCATAAGTTGGTTTGAGTTTACATAATTACATACGATCAATTACCAATAAACTTTTATCGTAACCCAAGTAAGAGCCACAGGTGAAGATTAAGGGAGAAGAGTGATAGAAGGTCAGCGGTTGTTGAGAATACCATTAGGTGTCTTTTCAACATAATGTGAAGCCCCCTATCTCGACACTAGTTGTAGAACGAGTGATGGGTCATGTTTTCCTTTTTTATTTTTTGCTGATATGTCTCCAAAATTACATCATTTTGGGCCAATTAGCACATTTTTATGATATGATCAAAATCGTATAAAAACGCTTCATAATCGCGATTTTGTCGATTTTAAGCGATTTTACCCATGTTTTTACCAGTTTTTGTGACTAAGCGACTTTAGGTAGAAACTGAAACGTTTTGGTGGACTGGATACGTAAAAACGTAAATTTTTACGTTTTAATGCGCGATTTTGACTGCACTGACCAGTATGAACCAACCCGTTGCAAACCTCTAATATAGATAATCATTTCAATTCGACCGATTTGATTGGAATAAGATTCAATGAAAATGAACTATTTATGGGCATGAACGAAATCCAGATCCAAATATTATGGATAGTTGACATGAATGATTTTCTTACTCTTCTGTTATACATGTGTATTTTTTTTTTATAAATCATCATTCAATCTTTCAACATGTTCGACATTGGTAAGCGCACAATATCCCAATGGATTTGAGTTTTACTATTATTAGTTATCGTAAGATTGGCGACCTATTATTATATTTTCACTTTTATATATATACTAGAATTGTTGCCGCGCTTTGCTGCGGTTAGAGTCTAAACTTCAGCCCGTCAATTCCGCTTATAGGTAGTTGGATTGAAAAATAATTATCTTGTGGTTTATTTTTCGTTGATTTTGTCTTTTTTCTAATACTTAATTTTGTATGAAATCTGTTAAAATATAATTAACAATATTTACTTCGATAATCTAAATGTGTATGAGTTGGGTATGGATACCCATTTATTCGAGAGTGTTTTAAATATACATACAAAATTAGACCTATTTGTAGAGCTTCAAAATTTTAGGTACCAAAATGTAATACACAAAACATTATATACTAAAATATAATGTTTCATCAATATTTGAGGACTTATATGCCAAATAAATAAATTTAGGTTATAAATCTAAAGATCTATTGAGTTAAGGTACAGAACTATAATTTGCATAGTTGAGACTTACTTTCTTTTATGGTGATGTATTTAAGATGATAATTATTTACTTTTCTATAGAAAAATGGAAGCTATTTATTTGATATATGTAGATACTTAACCAATTATTCCATGTATAATTTTTGAAAATTATAGCCCGAGTGAAAAAGAAAAACTCTAGAGCGAAGCAAAAGGAATACAAACTGGAACTTGCTTAAAATTTCACGCTTTCAAATCCCATAGTAGAAAATGATGACTTTCTAATAAGTAATAACCAAATATATTTATGTTTAATTGGACTTGAAATTGAGTTGAGAAATTTAATGGTTCATGGTTCAATTATTAGTTCTCTAGCTGTTGGTGAGTCGTGTATGGACCTGTTCATACTTGTGATTAAAATACATAAAAAGTAGTATACTAATTAGGGTTAAACGAAGACGACAAAGAAAGAAATAAAGAAAGGGTTATGGAAGGCAAGTGAAAAATGAAACGAAGAGAAAGTAGATGATGGAAAGATTTTTACCAATTCTTTTGGTTGGTCGTTAATACAACAGTTAACCATTTTCACCGTAGCAATTTATTGACACTTGCATATGTTTTTATCACATATTTTGTTATATGTAGTTAGTAGAAGTTTGTTTAGTACCCTGCAAATGTACTAAATGAGTTTACAAATTCGCTCTTGCAATATTTTAGAGTTGTCTCTCTTTTATCATATATTTGATATTTCACGTAATGAGCAAATATAAAATGGTCGAATCTTCTCGTAAAATTTAGATACCTTGGCATAATTGTTCAATGATTTTACAATAAAATTAAATTTGGGCTATCAAAATATAAAATATAAAAAGTAACTAAGTTGTAATTTGTTATGCAACATTAACTCTACTTCAACTTTAAATTTTATAAATTGTAGGTACGGAAATCTCATAAAATTTAGATATCAAAACATAATTGTTCAACGATTTTACATTAAAATTAAATTTGGGGTATCAAAATGTAAAATGTATAAAGTGACTAAAGTATCAATTTTTTACGCAACAATAACTCTACATCAAATTTATTTATAGTAAATTTTAAAAAATTGTAGTTATGAAAATCTCGTAAAATTTAGATACCAAAACATATTTATTCAAAGATTTTACATTAAAATTAAATTTGGGGTATCAAAATGTAAAATATATAAAGTGAATAAGCAACAATTTTTTACGCAACAGTAACTCTACTTCAACTTTAATGTAAAATGTATAAAGTGACTAAAGTAGCAATTTGTTATGCAACATTAACTCTACTTCAACTTTAAATTTTAAAAATTGTAGCTACTGAAATCTCATAAAATTTAGATATCAAAACATAATTGTTCAATGATTTTACATTAAATTTAAATTTGGGGTATCAAAATATAAAATGTATAAAGTGACTAAAGTAGCAATTTTTAACGCAACAATAACTCTACTTCAAATTTATTTATAGTAAATTTTAAAAATTTTAGTTACGGAAATCTCATCAAATTTAGATACCAAAATATAATTATCCAAAGATTTTACATTAAAATTAAATTTAGCGTATCAAAATGTAAAATGTATAAAGTGACTAAAGTAGCAATTTTTTACGCAACAGTAACTCTACTTCAACTTTAATATTAAATATCAAAACATAATTGTTCAATGATTTTACATTAAAATTAAATTTTGGGTATCAAAATGTAAAATGTATAAAGTGACTAAAGTAGCAATTTTATACGCAACAATAACTCTACTTCAAATTTATTTTTATTAAATTTTAAAAATTGTAGTTACTGAAATCTCATTAAATTTAGATACCAAGATATAATTATTCAAAGATTTTACATTAAAATTAAATTTGGGGTATGAAAATGTAAAATGTATAAAGTGACTAAAGTATCAATTTTTTATGCAACAGTAACTCTACTTCAATTTTATATATATTAATTTATAGTCAATTTTAAAAATTATAGTTACGGAAATCTCATAAAATTTAGATACCAAAACATAATTTTTTACATTAAAATTAAATTTGGGGTATCAAAATATAAAATGTATAAAGTGACTAAAGTAAAAAATTTTACGCAACAGTAACTCTACTTTGACTTTATATATATTAATAGTGGCTACTTCGGCGCACTCATTTTTTTGAGTGCACCCAACTTTAAAAGTGTCTATAGTACTTCAAATTTTGAACTTTAATTACTACTCTCAATCAAATATGATGATATGACATAGAATCATAACAAATCAATCTATTACCTAACCCCTTAACCTTCAATTTTGAATCCCAACCCCAAAATCCCAAATTGTAAACCTAAACCCTAATCCTAAATCTTAAATCCTTCAAATTAAAGTAAATATTGAATACTTATTTTTTTTCAAATTCATGTGCTTTTTGTCTATAATATCATAAGCAACAATTGATACTGTTTTGACATGAATCACATGCTCTGAATGACAATTACACCCAAAAAAATGGGTGCAACGAATACGCCACCATATATATATATATATATATATATATATATATATATATATATATATATATATGGTGGCTACTTCGGTGCACTCACTTTTTTGGGTGCATTCAGTGCACCCACCTCTAAAAGTGGTCATAATACATTAAATTTTGAAATTTAATGGGTTGTATTAGTCTAATATGATGATATAACATAGAATCCCAACTAATCAACCCATTACCCTAACCTATTAACCTTCAATTTTGAATCTCAACCCAAAATCCCAAATTGTAAACCCTAACCCTAACCCTAAATTCCTAAACCCTGAATCATTCAAATTAAAGAGAATCTTGAATGATTTATGTACAAATTCATGTGGTTCTTGTTCATCATACCACAAGTGATGATTGTTATCGTTTTCACATGAATCGCCTGCTCAGAATGACGATTATGAGGCGGGTGCATTGAATGCACCCAAAAAAGTGAGTGCACCGAAGACATAACCA